AAGCCGCTTCCTCCTAACTGCCCTTCTATATAGTAGCATCTACTAGATTAAGCTCGTAGGCCGTAGCTATAACGCTGTCGTAGCGTAGGCGCATCGCTACCGGTACGGGTTTATACTTATAATAATTGTTCCTTTAAGGGAAGTTAGCGCTACGTAAGAGAGGAGCAGGCGTCTCGAATAAGCGTTACTTACTTATAGTAGTCGTACTTGCGCTTAAACGAGCTAAAGATAGCGTTATAGCGATACCTAATACGAAGGTATACTAACCGCGTGTAGCGGCGATAGGCCGTAGGCACCTCGACGGCGCGGCGCTTACTTACCGACGCTTAAGCGGGGGTCGCCGGCGGGTCGGGTGCGCTACGCTTACGGGGAGTACGTAGCGGCATAATAAAGAGTAGATGTTTAGAAGAGAAATCTATAAGGCAGAAAGAATATTAATAAGAGGTAGTTACTAGGGTGTATTACTTAGCAAACAACCTACTTAGAGATCTGTAGATATAAGACCCTTGCGGACAGCAGCGGTAACGTATACGCCGCGTAGTAGGGGACTTATTAACCCTCTTATCGAGCAGCGGTTATTAAGGGAATTAAACCCTCGCCCTTCTAGGTACGGCATTTGGCCTACTAGAAGGAGGATAAAGTTCTAAAAGCGGCTACATCCTATATAGCTAGTTTAACTAGCCGGCTTTTATATAAATAGCCCGAAGGTTGCTTAGAAAATAGGCACTTCACCCTATAGAGTCTACGGACCCCGAGCGCGACGTATGCGACGCGCGCGCGCCTCTATTTCCTAAGACCACGAACTAAGGCTAGTTCGTATAGGGGGAAGGAGGTAATTATAAGGGCCGTATAAGAGCCCTTGCAATAACAGGATTAATAGAGGTAGCTAGATTAACCAACCTTAGAGAAGGGAGTATAATATAACCTAACTGCTTAGCGTAGGCTTAGCGTATGCATANAGGATTAATAGAGGTAGCTAGATTAACCAACCTTAGAGAAGGGAGTATAATATAACCTAACTGCTTAGCGTAGGCTTAGCGTATGCATAACTCCTACGCATAGCGCACATTTAACCCGTAAGAATTAGTCTTATCTCTAATCGAGTAATTACGGGTGTCTAATACATTGCTATATCTTTACCCTTACAATAACGCTACCGCTACGAATCTATTAGTAAGGATGCTTAGACCTTAACTAGAAATAATTATACTAACCGGCTCTAGATAAGTAGAGAGGTTGTATATAACTAACGATACTTAATACGCTTAGCTAGGTCCTACGTAGGATCCCTTATCGAAAACCGGTAGCTAGCCTTATCGTCTATCTCGTCTTAGAGGAGTAGGGTAAAGAGAAGGCTAGYATCTCGGAGCTRTTTTGTACTAGTTAGTCTAAATGTCCTAAAGATATTRTCTAGCGTTTTAACTCTTACTTTAGTTCTACGGTAGTCGACTCTACGCCTTCCTRCTTTATCGATACTAAGGTTAAGCAACTATAGCCGGAACTCTATAGTCGCTATCGTAGTAGTCGCGCTTTATACGGGGAGGGGTAGAGGAGGGAAGAGGTRTTAATATAGTAAAAGGATGTTAATTACTATGTTTAATRCCGTAGAATRTTAGTAAAGGTATAAGGAAAAGGAATTTAAAAGAGAGTGCTATTTTATARTTACTRCTATAAAGCTCTRTCTAGYATATGCATAATAGCACCTAATACTACTTATACCGGTCGGAAGTAAGTAATACGTAATAYACGTGCTCGCTCCCCGGYAGGTGTTATTACTTAGRAGAGAAYATATAAAGTAAATAAAACGGGGACTTAGCTATTTTAYAAATATCTTRTGCTTTCTCCTTAYRGAGTATGCGTATAATAGTAAAAGGGAAYRATAGYATACTCGAGGAATACGAGAGGCGGAATAGCGATATAGTCTTATTTTCGAAAATAAGYAAAGTRAATAYAAAGTATAGAAAAAGGGACAYCTRCATTCTACCGAGATAAAACCCTTCTCTYTATAAATAGTAGCCGTATAATAGTACTAGAGAAAGGGTATAYACTCCGATTATTAATTTAGTTCTATAAAGGAAATAGAATATCTTATAAAAGGAAAAGGGGAGAGAGAAAGAAATAATAAGCTCTAGAGCTAGCTCTACACCTACCTCTAAAACYACTTTAGTACTATTATACTACCTAGAGGAGGAGATAGCCTCTACTATTTGCCTTTTCCCTTACTACGGCTCGCCTYCTTCGTACTTGCCTTACGGGGGAATCTTATGCCCTTRTACTAAGGATCTGCCGYATTRCCTACTATATTAGGGTTATTACTAGCATTCTCGCTCTATTTATGCTTAAGGATGCGGTCGTTTAAGGTGTTTACGGAGCATAAGTTCTTCTTACTATTCTAGATGCAATTTCTATAGGTACCCTCTATTATATGCTCCTATTTTATATATTCCTGCTATTATTAGCTTTAAACATCTTTATATAGGAGGAAGGCGGAGAAAGAGTACCTTCTAAGGGCCTCTGCCCTCTTTTCGCTCGTTCTTATTTAGGATCGGCCGGCCTTRGYAGGCGGTAYATTCCTARTTAATAATATTACCGCTACGAATCTATTAGTAAGGATGCTCGGATCTTAATTAGAAGTAATTATACTAACCGGCTCTARATAATTATCGAGTCTATAGTRTTCTTACGGTCTYTAARYATTATCTACTTCGCCGGGTCCTAGGTCTTCTTAATTTTCGGGGCGTAGCTACTCTCCGTATCGATTATCTCCGCCTATTCCTTAGTAATATAGAGGCYACTAGTCTTAAGCTAGATTATACTAGTTAGTCTCGTCTAGGTAAGGCGATTATCTTTACTTATATTACCGTCGTTAACTATAAGGTATAGATTACTATTATCGTCTAACGAGTAGTATATATCTAATAGGTCGACGTCGCCTATACCGAAGCGGCGAACTTTCTTCTCGGTTATTATACGGAGAGGTAGAATAGAGCAAAGAGGGGAGGATAGGTAGTAAGAGTGCTAATTAGAGTATTAAATGTAGTAGTTGTTAGGAGGACTAGGGGAGACGGTAGAAGGGTAGAGGAAAGAGTCTTATAGCACATAAATATTACTCTTACGCGTATAATAAGTTACTAGCAGAAGTATGTGCATAATAGCAGCATTAAAGTAAGATATAGGTAACCGAAACCCGTTACATATTAGGACCGGTAACTAAGTAATAACGGGACGGTAATATCACATACATATAAGCAAATAACGACGTTTATTACATGTAATTGTACGGGCAATTAAATTAATAAGCGAGGTGTGAAATTACTCCACTTAGTGGCGTTAAGCTATATTAGATCGCGTTGTTGCAGGGAAGTCGCTAAAAGTCCACCGTAAACATGCACCGCATCCAGAAATAGCTGTTGGTCTGTCACACTGCGCCTCGCCTCATGCAGGTCAAGACCAAGATTAGCAATCGACAGCCTTGGTGTCTCCCATTGCCTCGCTCTCTCGCGAAAACAGCATGATCAATCCGTTGGCGCCTTGATTGTACAACGGCCATGCTCTAGTCCTCTACCAGAACCTGCTTCGAAGCTCTCTCCGGCAGGCTGCGAGGCAGTGCCTGGCGGCATTCTGTCGTGCTCAAGGATCGATATAACATGTAAGTGCGAACACATCATGCGATTTTGGCACCCTATTTCACAGAACACATGTGCCTGGCGGAGACCTGGCCGTTTCATCTCTGTGCCTTGAGTCGTGGCCAAGCCGCCGAGCCAATTCTCTCTTCGACGCTTTTTCACCTTTCTTGTTCTCTGAGCCGTATCGTGCTGAACTGGCCGAGATTCGTTGTCGTGGTGGTCTCTGGTCTGGTCTGACAACGGGTCCGAGGCATGAGAGATCCTCGTGGGTTGGTTGACTTTGCGGTTCAACCGTCAACCATCTAACGTTTGTTGTGCAGGAAACTCATACAACGGTACCCTTGCACTTCTGCAAACCTCTTGTATCACCGCTGAGGCAAAACTTCACGCAAGTTTTCAATGAAATTGCTCGCGCTATCCTTCTCCAGCGATTTCCCGATCAGAGCAATTATTCTCGATCTACCTCCGAGAGAACCTGTTCCGCACGATTTGAAACGACGGAAGAAGAGCTGCTGCAGGTCCCCGTTAAATCTCTCGCCAGTACTCAACCATCGGAACTGGGTAACGTCGAGTTGACCTTCACGACAACCCTCTGCATCATTACTCCGAAGCGTCCCACTACGCGAGTGAACGGACTCACATGCCAGAGGCAACAAACAACCCAGCAAGGCTTCGTCTGCTTGTCCCCCTACCACTTTGTGAAGCTGCAAACCCAGAGTGTCTCCACAGGCCGATTCAATGTCGACGTTCGGCCTCGGAGGAATAACTCCAAGCGCTACCACTTTCAATGATGGACAACCTACTTCGACATGGCACGATCCGTCACGACCGACGGGTCCTTTGGTCAGCATGATTTCTGCACTCGATGCTACAATGGCTGCAACAGATCCAGAGTACACTCGGCCACCCATAGCTCTGGAGAACAACCCATCAGCCACTGCAAATGCTCTGTCAATCTTATTCGACGCTCTACCAAGCGCTGCAGCAGTCGCCATCGCCTCCAAGTACAACCTCCGACCCGAATGGATAGCACCGCAAGCACCGCAAGCACCGGAAGCACCGCAAGCACCGCAAGTATCGCAAGCACCGCAAGGCACAAGTGCAGAATCAGAACCAACACCTCAAATCCTACTCTTTCCATCTTCAGAATCCTCACCAAGTCCAGAACAGAATCCTTCTTCGAAAATACCCTTATCAACAACGCCCTCCTCAACAACAGCATCGCCGACATCATCAACT